ATTATTTAATAATAGAAGTTTAGTAATTAGAATTAAAACTTGGTAACCATGAACTTAGGACTGGTGCTGGTGCTTTTTTTGGTCATTCAGTGTTCCTGTAAAATAAAATGAACAATAACACTGATAAGATATTATTATTATTATTATTATTATTATTATTATTATACAAATTCTACTAATAAGAACAATATAAAAACGCATTAAGGATTAATGAGTTACTGGATTCATGAATATTAATCAGGTTGTGTGCATTTGCTCGAACTGATTCGCTGAAATCAAAACAGGGACGATAATAGGTGAGGACCAGCTAATGAGATTGTCGTTTGCACATTAGTTCCGCCTACTACAGGAAAACCCGGCAGTTCTTAAAAGCTGAATAATTCCAAAGGAACTCTGTTATTTTTACAGGAAAATACAACAAAGTATATAATTTACATGTAGCGCATCAATTCTGCATGTTATGTAAGACTCTCGCTCTTTGTGCGTGTGAGAGAAAGTGACGGCGAGTCGTGCGCCTTCACACTAGAGTTTGTTACGTCAAATACACAAACACAGGTGTGCTGTGCATCCATTCAAAATAACTGAAAAATATCAGATCGCTTGATGGAGAGTGAAACTGAAGCGCTCAGTCAGAGTGTTCTGTGAGTGAAAATATATCTGTGCTAATCATATACTCAGCCTCTAACTCACACACTGACGAGTAAAATCTGAGAATTTATTAGCCATTGGCTAATATTAGACATCATTTAGTCGCCCAGAGTGAAGATTTAGTCGCATATGCGAGTGATTTACTCGCAATATAGAGGGTTGACAGTCTATGAGCACGAAGCGCTTACAATGTGCGCACATTGTAAGCGCTTCGTGTTAAAAACTGCAAAGCACAAAGGGAAGAGAAATTGATGCGTAGTGTATTATATCTGTGCAACAGTTATTGAGCCTTTCTTTTAACAGTTTTAAATTTCAGAGTATAATAAGGCAGCAGGTGCAATGCATACCAGGTTTTCGTTGAGGAGCCGAGCCAGCCGACACTAGTTTTAGCAAGCCGACACTAACCGGGGCCTCTCGGCGCCACTACCCGTTTGAGGTGAGAACACAGGAGGATACCAGCTCCACACGGAGGCTATAGAATCTAGCAAACGTGTTGGGGGTTGCCCAGCCCGCTGCCCTACAAATATCTGTCAGCGAGGTGCCACGAGCCAGCGCCCAGGAGGATGCAACACTTCTAGTTGAGTGAGCCCGCTGCCTGAATGGGCAAGGCACACCCTGTGCCTGATAAGCCAGAGTGATGGCATCCACAATACAGTGGGCCATCCTCTGCTTAGAGACGGCATTCCCCTTCTGCCGGCCTCCGTAACAGACAAAGAGCTGTTCTGAGGTCCTGAAGCTTTGTGTCCGGTCTACGTAGCACCTTAATGCTCGGACGGGACAGAGCAAAGCCAGGGCTGGGTCTGCCTCCTCCGGGGGCAGCGCTTGCAGGTTCACCACTTGGTCTTTGAAGGGTGTAGTGGGAACCTTGGGCACGTAGCCGGGCCGGGGCCTCAGGATTACCTGGGAGTCAGCCGGCCCAAACTCTAGGCACGAATCGTCGCCAAAAAATGCGTGCAGGTCCCCTACCCTCTTGATAGAAGCCAGTGCAAGCAGGAGCAGAGTTTTCAAGCCAAGGAGGGGCTGTCGCGAGGAGCACTAGCTCGGGGAACCAGGTCAGAGTGGGCCGATACGGCGCCACTAGCAAGACTTGCTCCTCGTCCTCCCGGATTTTGCACAGTGTCTGTGTGAGAAGGCTCACTGGGGGAAACGCAGGCCCTGCGGCCAGCTGTGTGCCAGTGCGTCTGTGCCGAGTGTTCCCTCGGTCAGGGAGTACAACTGGCAGTGAGCGGTTTCTGGAGAAGCAAACAGGTCTGAGCGGCTCCGAAACGTCTCTAAATCAGCTGGACCATCTGGGGATGGAGTCGCCATTCTCCCGGGAGCATTGCTCGAGACAGCTCGTCAGCTGTACGGTTTAGCAGGACCCGGAATATGAACAGCACGAGGTGACCTCAGAACCTTCCGACTCCAAAGGAGGATGTGGCGGGCGAGTTGCGACGGGAGCGCAGACCACCTTGTCGGTTGATGTACGCAACGGTCGCTGTATTGTCCGTTCGGACCAGTACGTGCTTGCCTCATAAGCGCCCTTTGAGACGGTTCAAGGCAAGGCGCACTGCCAACAACTCTAGGCAATTGATGTGCCCATGCAGCTGCGGGCCTGTCCAAACCCCTGAGACTGTGTGCCCGTTGTACGTGGCACCCCACCCGGTGGTGGAGGCATCCGTGTAGACCACCGTATGCCCGGAGATCTGCTCTAGGGGCACCCCTGCCCGGAGGAACGCAAGATCTGACCACGGGGTGAAGGTTTGGCGACAGGCCGGTGTAACTTGGACCCGGTGAGTGCCGCGCTTCCATGCCCACCTCGGGACTAGGCCATAAAGCCAATGCTGGAGCGGTCTCATATGTAACAGGCCGAGCGGTGTAAGTGCCGCTGCGGCCGCCATATGCCACAGGAGCCTCTGAAAAGTATCAGTGGGACCGCTGTCCTGCCCTTGAATGTATTCAAGCAGGCTAGCACAGACCGCATACGTTCCTCTGTGACTCGCAGATCCAAGATTGGCCGTAACCCACTGCCTTTCTTGGTTTGGCGACAGGCCGGTGTAACTTGGACCCGGTGAGTGCCGCGCTTCCATGCCCACCTCGGGACTAGGCCATAAAGCCAATGCTGGAGCGGTCTCATATGTAACAGGCCGAGCGGTGTAAGTGCCGCTGCGGCCGCCATATGCCACAGGAGCCTCTGAAAAGTATCAGTGGGACCGCTGTCCTGCCCTTGAATGTATTCAAGCAGGCTAGCACAGACCGCATACGTTCCTCTGTGACTCGCAGATCCAAGATTGGCCGTAACCCACTGCCTTTCTTGGGTACAATGAAGTAAGGGCTGTAAAACCCCGACCTCATATCGGCCGGAGGGACCGGCTCTATCGCATCCTTCGCCAGTAGGACTGCGATCTCTGCCCGCAGAACAGGGGCATCGGCTGGCAAGCGGATACCGCTGAACTTGGACAGGTGCTGGGCGAACTGAATCGCATAGCTGAGGCTGATGGTCCGCAGAAGCTAGCGAGACGGGCTGGATAGCGCTGACCAAGTGCCCAGAACCCGTACAAGCGGGACCAGCGGAACCACAGCCGTACCCACAGTGGGGCAGCGAGGTGGAACACAGGGACCCAACTCGGGCGGCGGTTAGACCAGACGAATGCCTACAGGCCCGGGAAGAAAGTACCTGGTCTCCCCGCCAGGAGGAGGCGGACTTAGGACACAATTGCATCGCTACCGCCCGCTCCACCGGGGGGATCGCCGAATACCCCTTCGCTGCACCGTCGTCGAGGGTGGTGAGGGAGTAGGAGCCCGCCGGCCGGTTTCGGGCAGCTCGTCATGCACTTCCGGGAAGAAAGGCACCGGGGCGGGGCACTGAGAACCAGCGCGAGCCACCCCGAGAGACCAATCATCCAGCCTTGAGGGCTCGGGACACGGTGGAGGTTTCCACTCGAGCCCGACCCTTTCGGCGGCCCGGGAAAGCATAGCTGTCATCTCCGGATCCAATTCAGGCTTTGCCACCATCCCGGAGGGCGGCAGCGCGGCCGAATCTTCATCGGACAGCTCTTCCTCCGATGCTGAGATCGACATCTGGTCGGGGGGAGGTCCACTGGATACCGCTGGTATGCTCTTTAAAGAGGGCCCAGTGCGTTATGTGGGTCGCTCCACTGGATCAGAGGAGCAAGAGGAGTGATGGTCCCCAGAGGGTTTGTTCCCTGCGGTACTTGCCATCACTGTAACCCTCAAACCGCCCGCGCTACTGCTGGCAGGTAACGACCGCACCCAGAAACGCACAGGTGAAATGGCATCCTTACAAGGACGATCCGTCGTCTTTATAAAGACGCCCCCATGGAGCTCTTTTAGAGAAATTTGCTCTTTTAGGAAATGCTCTTTTAGTGCTGAGGCGCACAGGGGAGATGGCCACTTGCAACACGACAGGGGGTAGTGCAGCCTGAAGTGCGCAACCCACTCGACACTGGAACGACCACCACTGAAGCGCCGTCTCGCCAACAAAGAAAGCTTCCGAGAGCGTGCTAAACTCGTAGTTCTCTAAATAAATATAGAGCAGAACGATGTTGTCGCTCGGCTCCGAAGCGAAAAGCTGGTATGCATTGCACCTGCTGCCTTATTATACTCACGCTGTGATCAGCGGCAGCTGGATGCAATAATTGCATGCCAATGTGCATTGGCTCGTTTAGTTTACACTCAAAGTAGATTGGTCTATCGAAGCGATATCCCAATTCGTCGGTCACCGACGTGACTCGGAGTGACCGACTGAAAGGGAACAACATTAAACTTTGGCAAGAAGATAAAGTCCTTTTTGCAAAATCATAGACATGTATTTACAAATCAAGTGTAATGGGAACACAGAATGATCTTGGAGAGAGCTTTACCGAGCTGACTGCTGTAACCGAACGCGACCAGGGTTTAAAGGCTGAACAAATGATTGACAGCCACAGCGGAGAAATTAGTTTGTGTGAACTTTAATGTAAGGACTTAAATATTCATATGTAGCTCACATTAAGATATCGTATGGCTTCAGAAGTAACACAGAATAATTCGCACAATCAGGAAAATAAATAAAATAAAAAATCTCCGATTTGGATCGGCTCTCTCTGACCGATACCCGATCTGAGAAAAATGGCACTTTCGGAGCCGATACCCGATATGAATATCGGATCGGCGCATCCCTAGAGTGAAGTAGAATAAGTGAGCCATGCTGCTTATGTTTTTTTTCTGTTGTTGGTTCCGCAAAGAGAAAAAAAAGCTAAACATCTTGCTGTTAGAATATCATGTTATTAATCCTGATCTTTTTTTCATTAGACCCACAAGGCTCCAAATCTGATGGTACTCACAAGAAAGGTACTTTCTTTTTATTTATCCGGGATTATACAAGCATATTGATTCATGCAATCCGGGTGATTTCTCATCTGAGAAACGGCTAAATGATATGAGTTAAAGATGTCTGTCTGTTTTGTTAATAACTGAGAGTAACCTAACTAATGCAAATGACATCAGTCATGCATCTGTTCTTTTTATAAATGGCATGCTAACTGATAACGGCAAATATTTATATGGGCATAGTGGTTTTAGTTTACTTTGTGGTGTAATTGGATATCATTGCTTGACCTTTATTTTCCGGTGGGAGGATCGGAGTAATTGGGCTTCAGGCGGGACAATTGCAAAATAGCATGCATTTAATTATTAATTAGCTTCTTTTTGCTTTCGCTGTGGAAATTAGTATTTATTTAATTCTGGATGTAGCCTCCAGTTGTTGGTTTAGCTTTGGAGCTTGTTGACTGCCACTATTTAGTGCCAGTGTATCCCTTTGTGTAGCCGGGCATGCTTTTTGTCTGTGCACCATTGATTTTTCCTCTGATCTTGGCTTAAATTATAATTAAATTGAGAGAGCAAATGAATTTCTACACCTGACTGAACAAAAAAACTGTTGACACATCTAATCTTATAAAATTTTGTTGCTTTAGATAACAAGCCATGCTTTCAGATATTGCATTTAAATAATACCATATTTGATTCTGATGTGCAGTTGTTCCCTTACTGCATGTAATGTTGTTTATGTGAGTATTGAGACTGCAGAGATGCAGTTTTAGTCCTATGGGCCGCACGCTGCTGCTGGATTCTTATTACAGCCCTGTTATTTAGCTTTATTAAAGGCATTATATACACGGATCACTCCCTTTATGTGAAGTCTTCTGGATGTTTGTCACGGCTCCTGTGTTCTCATGAATGATCTTAGGAGGAGTATCCACAAATCATATTATTACAGTATTATATTGCATTTATCACACAATGGTTAAGCATCGTTCATCCCAGCTGAGATTACTTCTAGCTATTGGTGTGCTGTAAAATGTCTGCAGTGTGTTTAATGTGTATTGTATGCATATATTAACAGTGCATTAAGAGCCATGTTCATAATGTTAGTTATTATCAGTCATGTTCTTTTGTGTATACCTTAAACATAATTCGGCATGACCATGTAAAGGTTGCTGTTTGAAGCATCCGGTTGTAAATGTCTTTGAATATAATTTTTAATTTGTTGGGATGCAATGGTTCTGTTTGGGTTTGTTTTTATTGCACACATTTTATTTCGAAGTCATTTACACAGCCAATATATAGCTCAATGTGAAGTCACAAGGAAATATGACTTTGCAACATTTAGTTTCCATACAGTTTTTACTTTGCTCAGTTTGTTTCCCCATAATAACCATGCATGACTCTGTTAGAGAAGCTATTTTTAGCTAATAACTTATTATTAAAAAATAGTATAGTAAAATAGATTGAACTTTATTTGAAAGCGAAAGATATTTCTAGCAGCGCATGTCTGATTATTACCTCTGTTTGTTCATAAAAACAGACATATGTAGCATTTTGTCAGCTACACAGTTTGAAGAAGTGCTTGTTAATGGAAAATGACACTGTTTTAAAAATGAAATGTTAAATATTGAAAAATTTGCTTAAGTTAGTATTGTCGCTACTTCTGGCTAGTTATTCTCAACACTGGTAGGACTGTAGTGTGAGTACTAATTGATGATTTAGTTATGAATCTACACAGACAGATTATTAAATATCTGAATATCTAAAATATTTAAGAAACCCCAACAGCATTTCTATATAATGACCAATGAAATCTGAATTGGATGGTGAAGAAGTTCAGTGCCATCGCTAGCCCAGCCGAGATTTTGGGCAATTTAATAGAAACTCGTCGCATTAATCTAATTTTCTTCTTATCTCTAATCTTATTATTTCATACGCATAGCTGCTGTGCATAATGAAACAATTGACACAGTCTCTCATATCGTTAAAACCATCAGTTAACCTCAGTGTGAATCAATTTTGCTGCGATATTGACCATTTTATCTCATGACTTCTGCGGCTGCAGCTACCAGGTAATCCAGTGTAATCAAACTGTAGTCGACTCATTCTCCATTCTGGACTCGGAGCCTCAGCCCTCCTATTGATTTATGTCTCTCTCCAGCCTCCCTCCTCCAAGGCTGTCATGTTTCCCCTATCAGTGATGCTAGCCTCAGGGGCAGGAAGAGATCCTGGTAATTTAGCAGTGTGTCATTACTTATAGGCATGTGACAATGCTAACTCAGACACTCTCTCTGAAACTAGCTGTCACTGCACGGGCATCTCTTCCTGTCTGAGCCGCCGCTGTCCGGCCCTTATGAATTTTAATACAATCCCCTTAATGGTTAGGGTCGCCTCTAGCTGAACCGAACCTGGAGTGATGGATGGCTGTGACTCCTGTTCAATCTGGATTTGGTTTTGTTAGAATGGGTTGTTTTAAGTAGAAAACACGGAATATATGGAATATAGAATGATGTTTCAGGCTGGGATCCATATAGCTGCTCTGTATATTCATTTGCCAGGCTATTAATTGTTGTTTTGTTCATTTAATGTTTTGTCGCAGTGCTTTGCTAGCACATTTCAGGGCCTGTTGGGCTAAATTGCTTTTTTTTCCAGTGCGTGGAATATTTTGTTTGTTTTTGAATATAGTAATCTAGAAGAGCATTTTTTACTACTCTATATTATATTGTTTTTGTTTTGTTATTGTAGAATTCTAAAATAGTATTTTCTTTTTTGTTCTATTTTATACTATATTCTCGTTTAGTAATAGTCTAGTATAGCATTCTGTATTTTTTTTGTGTGAACTATTCTATACCATATTCTGTTTTTAGTATTCTTTTTTTACTGTTCTGTACTATAATTCTGCTTTTAATGGTAGTGTATTATAGTGTTCTGTTTTTCTGTACTATATTATGTTTTTGTAGTATTATTCTATATTATGTTCTGTCTATTCTATACCATATTCTGTTTTTAGTATTCTTTTTTTACTGTTTTGTACTATAATTCTGCTTTTAATGGTAGTGTATTATAGTGTTCTGTTTTTCTGTACTATATTATGTTTTTGTAGTATTATTCTATATTATGTTCTGTTTTTTGTAGTATTCTAAAGTAGCATTTTGTTTTTGTAATATTCTACACCATATTGTTGTTTGTTTAATTGTAGTCTAGTATAGTATTCTGTTTTTGCTATTCTATATTATATTCTCTTTTTTGAAGTTTTAGGGCTGGGTGACATAGCTAAAAAATATATCAACGATATATGTTTCATATCATTCTGTATCGATAATTATTGACATTTTTTATAACCTTTTTTAAAACAGAGCAATATCTTTTCTTTTTTTTTTAACCACTGTATTTTTTTTTTATTTAACCATAGCCCACTTCATTAAGACAAACAACAAATATATATAGGCATATATATTATTTTTTAACAGTCAAACACAAAATAAAATTTTAACAAATATCTCCTTTCTTATGTTTTATATGCAGATTAAATAAGTCTTAAGGAAACTTTTGACTTGTTTCCCGAGGGCGCAATGAGCAAAATAATGCAGCGCATTAAACTTTCAATTCAAATAACTGTCTATAAAAACGTGCGTAACGTCTAAATTAACATATATAAAACAAATATAATTTTGTAAACTGCATAAACAATTATGTTTATATATAAACATTATATTAACAAAACAGCATCATGTGTTTATGCATTGCTTAGCCTAATACAAACAGCCAAATTGCCGATCGCACAGATTGCATTTAAAAACAAATGAGACGCAGTGAAATGAAATAAACCTTCACAAATTCACGTCGCGTTTTCTAAACGTTAAAACTGTTTTAACTTTGCATGACTTTCTTTGCATCTCTTGCATGAGACGCGAGTGCAGCAGTCATATTTGTCCATCTAAAAATGTGCTGAATATGCGTTCTGTGTGAATGGCTTGGTTTCGGTTTTAACCTAATCAAGATCTTCTACGCATTGAGCTACTATATTTCTCTAATATTTTGAACGAATAACACAGCAGCGGCGCATCTCGTGGGCTAGACTAACAAAACATTAAAATGCAACACCACTTACCTCATCATCACCGCATCTTGCGCTCCACTGATGACGCTCCCTGACGCACACCTAACATTCCATTGTACCATTTTTGCATTCAAATACAAATGTTTATTTTAAATTCGACTAATGTTTTTATTCACAATCACAGACACAGCACTCAATTCAGCATGTGTTCGTGTTTGTGTGAGCTGTCTGCATCACTAGTATGTGCCTATATCGTGCGCTATATCGAATATTTGTTTAATATCGTTATCGATGAAGGTGTACCGTCGATATCGATACCGTTTTATTGCCCAGGCCTATGTAGTAATCTAAAATAGTATTTTGTTTTTTTGTATTATTTTATACCATATTGTTGTTTTTGTTTAATAATTATAGTGTAATGTAGTATTTTGTTTTTGTGTATTATTCTATAACCATATTCTTTTGTAGTATTCCATTTCATTTACTTTTCTGTGCTACATTCTATTTTTATGTAGTTTTTTTACTATTCTGTATATTATTCTATTGTATTTTATTGTGTATTATTCTGTTGTTCTATTGTACAATTATTTTTGTAGTATTTAGATTTTTTACTATTCTGTGCTCCATTTTTGAATTTTTTTTTTACGATTCTATAGAGTTTTTTTCAGTAGTAGTAGTCTAGTATATTATTCTTTTCTTTATCAAATTCATTATTTTGTAGTGTTCTGTTTTGTACGATTTTGCTCTATATTCAGTTTTTTTGAAGTTGTACTGTTTTACACTATTTTCTGAAGTATTGTAGTTTTTAGTAGTGTTATAATATTGTTCTATATTATATTGTTTTTGTTTTGTAGTATTCTAGTATAGAATTTTATTTTTGGTGTTTATTTCTATTCCTTAATTGTAGTACACAGTACTATATTCTTTATTTTTGTAGTAAACTTTACTGTATTCTGTTTTTTTAGTATTCTATTAATTCTGTCAATTTTGTTGTTATATATATATTAGGGTTGTCAATCCATTAAAAATTTTAATCTGATTAATCACATCCTTTTTCTGTGATTAATCGCACACTTCATGAAATTAAGCATAGACCATTTATCTTGTTTCAAATGTTTATTTTGTCATCATTTGCTATATCCAGCAAAGTAAACCAAAAGATTGAAGGGTGATTCTCAAAAATCTATATTTTCTGTAAGCTTCTTTCAAGATAAATTTAGATGTCTTTCCAAAAAAGGACACTTAGAAACTCCAAAAGGACACCAAAGAACCAAATGATATGAGGAGCCCATATAAGCATATATGAAAAAAAAAAATTTTTTAATTTTATGGTACAGTGCAACAGCAAAGAGCTTTTTTACATTTTAGAGAAGCCAAGTTGCGATACCGAACAGGACCACATGGAGATGCCAAAAAAAACCTAACCCAACCGCTTGCTGACTGCATATATCTACTACAGTACACGGATCCATTCAGTATAACTAAACACAGCAACATACACATGACAAATCAAAACATTATCGTAAATGTGTGTGGAAATAACATGAATGTACGGAAATGTCTGTGCCTGTGCATAAATACAATGTGCGATCAGTGCATCAAGAGCACTCATACACGCATTATTATAATGGACTCACGCGTTCTTTCTGTACTTTACGACTCCTGTACGCCACCACAATCGTCTTTACCTTGATTGCAATCTTCATCCATCAAAACTTTACTAGCGAGACACTGGTTATCCAGTCGAGAAAACGTAGTTTGCGTCTCATCTGGCCATACAGTGGTGGGATGTGTTGACAATCCTTTCAGTCTGTTCTTCACACAGCGCGTGTGACGTGAAACGTTCTTTGGGAAAAACCAAAAGTCTTCTTCTTAAAAACACAAGCCTTTTAAAATCTTTATTTTAAAGGGTTAGTTCACCCAAAAATTAAATTCTGTCATTAATTACTTACCCTCATGTCGTTCCAAACCTGTAAGACCTTCATTCATCTTCAGAACACAAATTAAGATATTTTTGATTAAATCTGTGAGAGAAACATTTTCTCATAGAAAAACAGGGTAGACGATTTGGTTCAAAAACATTTTGTGTGATGGTTGAAAGTCTCTTCACATCTTGATAGCAATCACTAAATTAAGTGGTCTAAATGCATTTATATATATTTATCGTCTGTGGAAGGTGTAGGACCATAATATCTTCGTCCAATCATATTCCTCCCTGAAGACTGTGATAGGCTGTCCTTACCTGCCTGTCAGTGTATGTATTTGCATACCTCTGCGCTCCCTGTTCACGCAGACATGATACGTCATCAGCACATTCCATTACGCTATAGAAGACCGAGCGAGATTGGAAGCGTCATTATTGTAATATTATGTGCTTTGTACTGTAATATTTTCTCACTGGTGAATGTGATCTGACAGTGTTGACGCCATCTCCCATCGTGTCGCTGGTTAGCCTCTGCTCTGCCTGTGTGCAGTCATGTGTTTTGGAGGAGGCGAGGCTTTGGAGAGTGATTTGCAGGTAGGATGGGATCTTATGCTTTCAAAGTTAGCTTGCTATTGCAGCCTCTCCAAAAATCGCCTACCCTACCCTTAGAATCACATGTGACCTTCAACGTTAATGCACTACAATGAGTGAAAAAGTAAATCCAAGATGGCTCACAAAGCAATGTTTATTTATAAATAATACTATATTTCATTCAGTACTGAAAAAAATTTTAAACTGGCATATTACATTGCATAAAACCTTTAATTCTACTCAACTACTTGTTTGTTAGAGAATTGTTGTTAACTTAACAAAATCAATTGCGAGTTGAGTCTTCGTGAAGAACTGGTGGAAGAAATTGGTTTAATTATGGATAGGATGCTCCCTTAGAAGGTAGCTGCCTTTGTAGTTAGTAGGCTATGAAGTTGTTCACTAGGTTTTGAAATAGAGTCCTTATGAAGTCAAAGTCCTTATGAAAATTAACCATGGATTTACTACAGATAAAACCAAAAAACATGGTTATTGTAGTTAAACTATAGTAATCACAAATTAAACATGTTATCTGTAGTAAAACTGTGGCCATACAAATGGTACTCAATCTTACTACACTTGGACTATAATAAAACCCTGGCTAATTTTCGTAAGGGAGATATAACTAGTCAGGCTATGCGCCATATTGAATTTAACTCGGATGAAAACGATGCTGTGAAGGGTTCGATTACAGTCTTCACAATTTAGATCATGTAATTTTCACAACTCACAATTTTCTAAACTGTTTTATGAAGTTTTTTTTTCTTTTTTTCAGAAGGACGGTTCATCAACAACAATCTATAACCAACCATACAATCCATTGAACGCACTGTACTTCTACCCCTCACAGCCTCATTTTCAATCTTGTCAAAAAGTAAATATGCCACTACCTGACTAAGGACTATTCCTCAATTAAAACATTTCTTATGGCACAATGCTATACACTGTAAAATTTGGTCAAATCATACTTGTAAGGTGGATTTATTTCCAGGTAATAGTTTTCTTGTGGATTACACTTCAGGAAGAAATTGCAGCCTTTATAGAATTGCCAGACTTTGCAGATTGCAATATGTTTCTTTGCAGTAATCTACTCATTCAGCACCTTAGGATGCTGCGTGTGGCTCGTCAGCAGGCAGAGAAATGGGGTTCAGGGTTTCTCCATGCTGTTCTGCAGCTCTGTATCTAACTAAATCAGATGTCTGGAGAAGCCTGGCAGGGTCTTTACGAGGCCATGAACGCCGTGGCACTCAGAATATCCCCCTTTCTGTGTTTACAGAGCCATATGTGATGGATCGCTTGGTTCTTTTAACAGCAGAAGTATGGTTTCTGTTCAACATCTCTATGACTGCAGGTTTTCATTTGTGCACAAGCATAAGAGATTTACATATAATATTTCTAAAACAGAAATGGGAGAAACAGTGGCTTGCCTTTTTGAGGGTTTGTTCTGTCCTGATAATAAAACTACTGGTCTTTGTCTTTACAGAAGACTTAACTCACTATCCTGTATTGATAATTTTACTCCATATTTTAACAGTATCTTTGCTTTGTAAGATGATGCATATCTTAAAAATCTGATTTACATTCTTTGTCAGTGACAATGTGCTTATTTAGCAGTAAGCAGGTAAGTTTTGGTTAGTATTGTTAGTTGTTTCTTAATAAAGAATATGTTTTGGTAAGTTTAAAATTTAGAGGATAACTTGCTTAATTTTATCAGTATCCGTTAACTTATTTGTTGTTGTTTTTTGTTGTTTTTCTTTTTCCACAGGTCCACCTGTGAACGTAACATGCAACATTTTTATTAACAGTTTTGGATCCATTGCTGAAACAACAATGGTGAGTATATGGATTAAAGTGATGCACATGATATGTAACCCTATACTTTCTTTGTGAAAAACAAATCTGATAAACGGGCTCCAAATTTATGAGAAATATTCTTCTATTGTGCATTTTTCTAATTGTAATACATCTTTTTGTCAATACAAATGATTAAGTTGATGTGATTGAGAAGTAAATATGCTTCTTTATTTTTTTATAACATTTTTTTTTTCATCTGTTCTGTTTATTTCAAGGTTTTAATATTTTGAATCCAGATTTTAATTGAATTATCAATGCCTTCCCATGACTTCCCTAGTGAAAAAGAAATATACTAAAATAAATTTACATATTTATGCGCTTAATACAAATCCTCTGCAGTTGTACTTTTAGTATACTAAACTGGCATACTTAAAGTCTGCTAAATTGGAATAACTAATTTTGTGCTTACTGCACTTAAATTGTGCAAAAGTAGTGCTGAGGTCCAACTAAAGGCATACTGAAGTATATTTGATTGTGCTAACGTGGAACTATTGCAAGTATACTTCAGGTACACTTTCAATATCTTGCATTTAAAGTCTGATATTATTCAAAGATCATACAATCCTCATCAATAGCACACATTTTATTAAGAAATGTGCATTGTGCAATAAAGAAACACTCCAAATAAAATGTCATTATAATGTTATATCAGTAAGTCTTAAGTGATATGTCAATAAATGTATTAATGTATTTCAAGTATGCTTAGTATGAATTAAATGTATTTTAAATAAATGATGGCATAGGTTTTTTTTTTACTAGGGTAACTGAAATGATAATGATGCAGAGGAGCGATATTGTTGAAATCACTTTCAAAATGTTTTTTTTTTTTTACTGATGAACCTTTTTGATTGGATTGATTGATTGAAAGAGCGCGAGCATTTAAAGCGGCAGACGACAGAACTGCAGCACAAACTTATAATAAACAGACCATTATCTTCTGATGTGTGGAGGCTAATAAAAATATCATTCTTGGGGAAAAATGGGAAAAATTTGAACCCATTGATTATATATTGATTACATGCCCATAAGTACCTCCTGGGCCATGTTATTTTTAAAGTGCTTTCAATGTCAATGCATTTCTAGATGTTTTTTTTTTTTTTTTTTTTAAACATTGATCTGGTGAAGGTCATACTTTTTCTCGAGCCTTTATGAGCACAAAAAAATAATAATGCCAAGATTTCCTGTTTGGCACCAGCTGAGCAGCTCCAAAACTTCAGAGGCTTGCAGAAGCCCCTCAAGCAGAACAAATGCATCACTTTCCACTCTTTCTTTCCTCCATAAGCAGTGGAATTGATCCGAGTTGCTCATGCTCGTGTTCACACTGAGCAAGCGGCGGCGAGGTGGCGGGGCAGGAGCAGGTAACGCCAGCCGTATCGATAAATCTTTAGTGCTTATAGGGCAGCCGAGAACAATGTTTCATCCAGTAATGATCTGAGCGACTCCGGCCACTACTGAGACGGGTGTTCCCCCCGGCCTTCCACTGTCCTAATTGTTTACCCTTTTTGTAAGGCACGGGGCCCACGGGAGTAGCGAGTGGCTATTTAATTAGCTCGCCGTCTCTTTAGGCGGGGCAGGAGCAGGTAACGCCAGCCGTATCGATAAATCTTTAGCGCTTATAGGGCAGCCGAGAACAATGTTTCATCCAGTAATGATCTGAGCGACTCCGGCCACTACTGAGACGGGTGTTCCCCCCGGCCTTCCACTGTCCTAATTGTTTACCCTTTTTGTAAGGCACGGGGCCCACGGGAGTAGCGAGTGGCTATTTAATTAGCTCGCCGTCTCTTTCATTTTCTTGAGGAAGCACGTGTAAATTTCAACGTCCGTCATTTGTTAGCAGAGTTGGGCGCGCGAGAGTCGTGCAAACTTTTTCTAATATGTCACCGTCAGTATAGGATCTGGCCTTGGGCTTGAATGGCATTATGAGTGGGTTGTTGCCATAAATCACTCTCCTTAGCCTAGAGAAATCAAATCAGAAAAAAAGCTGATGAATGTGCGCCCACTCCTCGCTTGTTCGCAAAATCATTCTGTCGGAAACTAGCTGTGCATTTGACTGCGGGCGTCCTGTTCGGTTGTAGTAACGGATGTCGGATAATCGCAGTAGACAAGAGCAAAAGGTTTTACTAATTTTGCTATATACATATATTCGTGATGTTAAATGTGTGTAATTTGCATTTGCTGAGGAGAACAGACGTGTTTACATAACACCTGAGATAATGCTTGCGGTAATGAAGTATCGCTCTGTTGTTTTTACAGGGTTCATTTTGCGTCCGTGGGCTGTTTTTTATAAAGGAGAAATATTGACAAAGTAAAATCGATGGGACTTGTTCTTTTCCCGTGCTATGGTGGCTGCGCTCTCTGAGAGGCAAATCTAATAAGAGACAGATGATTCTCCTCCATCAAAATATTTCACATTTCTTGGGATGAACCGGTCACCTTACATTAGGATAATTGCCCTGAAATGTCCTTGCATGTTGAAGCTGATTGCCTTTGCAAAGGTCATCCACTATATTCTGTGCCTTGCCGATCATCCCAAGGTGCATTAGTGCCCAGACAGTTTAATGGTCTCCCTGAAATGAAATAACCGCATGCCTGTTTTGGAGAAGAATTGGCCATTATGGCAGTGTGTTGGGGCCAAATGCCACTGATTTACGTTGTCTGCTTTTACGCACTGGCCATCTCACCAGTCTGGCTGCATGGATAACAATTATCTCAGGCAAAATATATACTGAGACAACACCAAATTTACCTGGACTAAGATTAGACATACTAGCAAAAAAAACAAAAAGCTGATCAAATGTGCTGGTCTCGCTTCCTCGCCTCTGATCTGTTGACATGGCTGTCTTTGTGCGCCCAACAGGATTACAGAGTGAACATTTTCCTGAGACAGCAGTGGAATGACCCTCGGCTGGCCTACAGCGAGTATCCCGATGACTCCCTTGACCTTGATCCCTCCATGTTGGACTCCATTTGGAAACCCGATCTGTTCTTTGCCAATGAAAAGGGAGCCAATTTCCACGAGGTTACTACTGACAACAAGCTTTTGAGGATCTCTAAAAACGGGAATGTTTTGTACAGTATAAGGTGAGAGGACAATATGTAATCTAATTCTGTCAGTAATACATTATACGATGTGTTCGCACACTTGTAAGGGAGACCGGGGCTTGTTGTCACAGCAGTGTTTACTGCTGTCTGTATTTCTCAGGGTGGGTTTATTTCTGTGTGCCCTTTGAGAAAATGACATACAGTTCATTAAACACACGTTGACCTTTTGGATAACATGGCTTAGTAGGGTCATGTTGTCACACTATATGGTGTAAGTTGTCGCAGTGGAGCCTGCCATTAAACACATATTATAGAATTTTCAGCAAAAAATAAGTAATACAAAATAAATCCATTATTAATCAGCAAAAATTTAAAAGGTAACATTCAAAATTGAACAAATATTGTAGTTAATAAATTATATACAATTATAAAACAATCTGCATGTCTCTTTTAATATAAAAGACTGTGCTACCACGTTAGTACATTACATTATGTTAACCTTTTTAAAAAAATTGTTACCTTTATTCAGCAAGGATGCATTAAATTAATTAATCGGCAGGTAACATAATCAGAAACGCTTCTTGAGCAGCAAATCGGCATATTAAAATTATTTCTGAAAGATCACGTGACATTGAAGATTGGAGTAATGATGCTGAAAATTCAGCTTTGCGCCACAAAAATAAATAGCATTTTACAATTTATTCAAACAAAAACAGTTATTTGAAATTGTACAAATATTTCACAATTTTACTCTTTTTTTACTGTATTTTTGATCAAATAAATGCAGTCTTGGTGAGCAGAAGAGACTTCTTGCTAACCCCAAACTTTTGAACGGTTCTGAATCTTGTTGAAATCTTAAACTGTTTAAACTGCACAGCATGTTTGCTTAATTGTGCAGTATATTTTAAAATGTAAAATATAAAGTAATTTGTATATTTGAAAAAAATGAAATGGCTTAAAGCCTAAAAGATATGAGTATCCTTCTAAGAATGTTTCCAATTTCTATTAATTCACTTAATGTCGTATCGCTGTATCATTAAAGAGGACTGGGGATGTAGTGAATAGCCGTGTGGATTGGGAAGCCTCATCTCTTAACTTGACACTATCAAATGAACCTTTCAGATCAGTTTGGTCTTAGCTGTGAACTCCCTCTAAATTGCACCAGCCACAGCACACAGTAAAATTGAACATTGCAGGTAAATAACCACTATCCAGTGATAGTGACATGATTACAGCCTTGAGTGAGTTTCAAATCAGTTTCTTTATCTAGCTTTCGAATCGTACGAGACAGAGTTAATAAGCATATATTTAAAATGGTTTGGTTGCATTTCTTAAAGGTATAGCCACCTAAATATGAAAAAGCACTCATTATTTGCATATCTTCATGTTGGTCCAGTCCTGTATGCTGTTATTTGATAATAATTCATAGTGACCACAAACTGACAAAAGGCACCACAGAAATGGCCTGTATAACTTCAGCACTATATTTTTAGCCATCTGAAGTGAAGAACAGAATGAAGTTATTCACTAATAATCCTCTCCTCCTCTGCAGCTCTCAAATCAAATTTGGCATCTATGTTCCAGGTTGGACATCAATAACATCAAACATAATTGGTTCTCCAGTGTCTCATAACCAGGTGTCTCATAAAACCAAAACGGCTTGCGCCATATTTGATTTGAGAGCTGCAGTGGAGGTGGAAGTTATCGGTGAAAAACAACTGATGACTGAATTGTAATTATAGTCGCAGTGCTGATATTGCTAATCAAAATTAAAACCATTAAAAACTGTTTGCATTATTTGAAGTAAAGTTGAAAACTAATAAAATCGAAATAATATTACACTGCATCCGAACCAGATGTAGCGGTAAAAGGTATTCTTTCCTTGTTAATCAGAGTTTTTGTCCTAACTAGCCACGATGACAATATGTGACGAACGACTTCTGATTCTATTTTAGAAACAATTTCTATTTCTGTAACATCACAGCAGGAGCAACAACAACACACAAACTGACAGCCATAATCTCAGGTTCTGATTATGTGCTTATTTAATGTTAAAATGGTCAAATGTTAGTTTGCGTGACCTTTATAGCCATACTGCAAGCAACAATGGATAATTTAACTCAAAGGAAACATAAACATTATAACTGAACCAACAAGTGTTTTCCATGACAAAGATTGTATCAGTCACTTAGTATGTATTTTTAATCATTTTAAAATGGTTTAATATTTATCTATTAGATTATGTACTAGTCCACTTTGTTGTGAGTTCAGTCTGCTTGTGAAGAGAGCCCTCCCATACACTCTTCTGATTGGCTGTGATTTTTTTTATTGATATTGTAGCCGTGTCTGGTGTGGACAAATGAATTGCTTGTCGCTGGAATCTTACCGAATCGCATCTGGTTAGGACAAGGTATTATAATATTAGATGAAAAAACAAAAACTGAATATTCTAAATGTTGATAACTAATTAAAGGGGTCATTATGTTATTATTATGATGTTGCTAAAAAGAACATTATTTTGTGTATTTGGTGTAATAAAATGTGTTTATGCGGTTTAAGGTTTAAAAAACACATTCTTTTCCACATACTGTACATTATTGTTTCTCCTCTATGCCCCGCCTTTCTGAAACGCGTAGATTTTTACAAAGCTCATCGATCTGAAAAGCAAGGTGTGCTCTGATTGGCCAGATATTAAGTGTGTTGTGATTGGCCGAATACCTCAAGCGTGTGACGGAAATGTTACGCTCCTTACCATACTGTGATGCCGTGTCCCGGCCGGAGCGTAACATAAAACCATGTCTGCGTTTGTGATCGGAGAAATGACAAACAACAAGTGCTACTCTACACTGCTCAAAACTCGCGTTTGAATCATCAGTGGCAAATTCTTTAAATATAAAAAACGTACTTACAGTCTGTGAGTCAGAACAGCCGGCATTGTAGTCTACTCTACCAGGATCAGGAAACAGTCCTCTATACAATGCGCAGCACACATCTGAATATTTGGGTTAAACTGTTCTGGAACAGTGTTGTAAATACAACTTAACCACTGATTTCTAGTCGTGTCCTCTTTTGGAAGGCCAAACAAAGTAGTTTCGCTTTCACAACGAAACACAGCGTCACACACCGCAGCCTAGAGTATGCGGAGGCCGGCTTGAGTGAGCAGAGGCAGGCGGGCTTGAGAACGGAGCGGCCGGCGGATTCAACGAAGGAGCGTCCGGCGAGCTTGCGGCAACCACATGTGACGACCCCGGGCTGGACTCCGCTTCGTCCACGGTGAAAGCCGATCCGACGATCCACAGCGCGAAATTGATGTATTTCCTCAGCGACCAGCACGGATCAGCTCTAGGCATGACGAAGCGGATATCGTCCTCTTTTGGAAGGCCAAACAAAGTAGTTTCGCTTTCACAACGAAACACACAGCGTCACACACGGTGGCTTGAGTGAGCAGAGGCGGGCGGGCTTGAGAACGGCGCGGCCAGCGGATTCGACGAAGGAGCCTTCGGG